TCAAGGAATAGTACAACGGAGAGCGGGTCCAGTAAAACGCCTCGACCGTTTGGAGCGGTGCGCGCGCTGTCTGAGGAGACTTGCGCATACTTTCGCCTGCCTCCGCAGCGCGAGTCTCCACAGTTACTTGACCCGCTCGCATCCGGAGTCGTTGTCATGGCGGCGCGCGTTGTTTAGAGCAGATATAGGTGGATAAACAAGGCTTCCGTCTCCTCGCGGGTTCAGATTCACTGAAATACGTCCGCACCGCAAACATGTTGCTTCAGACAAGCACGTGCAGGTCGCGGTTTCTGTTTGCGTCATCACAACATTTCGGCCGTATTGTTTCGGTGATAAAAGTCTTTCGGCCGAAAACCGAAAATGCACTTTTGGGCCATTTTCGGCCGAAAATTTTCGGTGGCCGAATATTCGGTGCATCCCTAGTTTTAAGGGATAAACTGATTGACTGCAGTGGGACTTTATCACCCTGCCCTGTATGCGAGAGCTCTCTATAGGAGTTAAGATTAGATCAGGGGTTGGCAGGGCTGCTGTGCTTCAACATCTGCCCTGTTCTGAGCCAGGAGTGTGTGTGTGTGTGTACATACATGCAGCTCTCCCCTCTGACCAGCGTAGCATTCATGCATACCTCCACTAATTAACTCCCTCTAGAACAGCCTCTAATTATCTGTGATCTTGGTAAATTAATTGTTTTCTGGTGTAACACCCTCCATGTTCAGCCCTTAGCACAAACTACATAACTACACAATCGTTGAATACATTACAATACATGAAGAGTTCAGATGCAAAAGGCTCTAAGTGCCATTTGAAATTTTCTTCTAAAATGATAATTTTTATCAAGCTTGTATATTTAAGTTCAGTAATTTCACTTAAATGGCAATGAAGATTACCTATTAATTGCCATTTAAGTGAAATTACTGAACTTAAATATACAAGCTTGATAAAAATAACCATTCTAGAAGAAAATTTCAAATGGCATTTATTTAGAGGCTTTTGCATCTGAACTATTCACATGTACTGTTTTAGCTAACTACTAAGTTTGCTTACATTAATCAAAAACTAATCAACTCGAGTGACAAGAGCAGAATTAGTAAATCCCAGGGATCTGAAGTAGATGTTTGCCGTGTATTTGTCGCTGGTGGTGCCCTCATTATTGAAATACTCGTTGACGCATGAAGCGCAAAATTGATTCAGTTGGCAAGCAGAGAGAGATAACCGTTTCTCGAATAAACAATTTCATGTTTGTGAGAACAATCTGTGATATGTGACGTTGCCTGGGATTTGTGTGGGAAAAGCTTCGGGGATTTGTGGAAAAGCTTTTTCTCTGTTCTGGAGTCAGGCTGTTCTTATTAAAGGTGCAATGTGTATAAAAATTTTGGGTGTTTATTAACAGAAATGCAAATGTTTTCCACTAAGGTTTGTATAAAGAACTTACTTAATAAACTGTAATGTTTTTATCACGTTAGAATGAGACATTTATATCTACATAACCGCGGGCACCCCCTTCTATGAAGGTCGACATATTTTGACATCATGTTTCTACCGTAGCCGAACGCGAACAAACAACGCTACAGAGCGCTTTCGTCACTACCTTGAAAGAGAAGCAGAACGCAGAAAGCTAAAAGCTAGCCATAAACACTGCGAGTGGTGACTTTTTCCTTGTAAGTGGTGTAAAATTTGAAGTTGGACTGTTTCACGTACCGGTAACTTAGTTCTTCTCCCTCGCTGTGTTATGGCTTTGCTATGTGGGGATAGCTGACGTGAGACAGATGATTAGCACTCTTGTCATTGACCTTAAAACAATTACGTTACAGGAATCACCAACCCGTTGATCACAGTCGATAAGTCAATCGCAAAGAGTTTTCAAAATCAGAGAAAAAATCCTATTGTGTGTAGTAGTGTTGTCAAAAAACTCGGTACTTCGGTACCAAGTCGGTACTAAAAAAAAAAAAATGTTACGGTACCAGCTTTTCTAGGTACCGAATACCTGGTTAATCCAGTTCTAGACGCGCTGTCTGAAACGTGCACAGTTGCGTCCTCTTCATAACGCTGATATGCTCTCTCTCTGAATCCACTTGATGACACGAAAGGAGGAAAGAGCCACATATGGAAATATTTTGGATTAGGCTAATGTCACGTTGCCATAAGAGGCCGATTACATGCAAATTCGCAATTTCAAATATAGGCGCGAGGCAAGCGCGATCATAATAAAAACTCGTTGCATAGCAACGACAGACGCCGCGTGACAGCAAGCGCTTTGGAAAGAATAAGCACGCGCAAAAATATAATAAAAAAAAAACACGCGCGATATGTGAATGGCCTCTAAAGTGCTTTCGGGGTAGTTTTACGAGTACATGAGCACAGTAGTGTCCACCCGACACCAGAGTACTGGTGTATTAGTATCGATGCATCCCTATTTATGTCATTTAATGTCAGTGCCAGTTCTAGGCGTATTCTTGCCTTTATAACTCAGCAGTTTTAAAAAGCCTTTTCAAAATTAAATATGAATGCAGTTTTAGATTAAATAAAAGTACAGTCAAATCAAATAAAACATGTTTTTTCTCCTGTAGCCTATAGTTTGGTAATGCTACAATAAGATACCATTTATCAACATTAGCTACTTCACATCAACACATTGAGTGAACAATATATTTTTACAACATTAATTAATGTTTGTAAATGTTATTTAATAGAAACACTTGATTGTTCATGTTTGTTCACTTCATTCATTGTGCATTAAATAAATGTTAACGGATTAGAACTTTACAAACAACTTTAAAAATGTGTAAGTGTATACTATTGTTTATTTTAGGTCAATTTTTTTCTAAAGTGTTTATAATACAAATGTACAGTTTCCATACTTGTAACCGTGATAAACACTTAAATATATGTAAATTTAAACTAAGCTTTGGTACCGAAATTGGTACCGAGAACCGTGAATTTTTACTGGTATTGGTACCGAATACTGAAATTTTGGTACCGTGACAACACTAGTGTGTAGTAAATGGTGTCTATGGGATGCGGAGGTGCGCGCGCTGTTACAATCACACCATTTTTAAAAGAGTAGTTTAAAAACACAATTAACTCTCTGGTTTATACAACTTTCACTTAGGAGCAAAAATCTGCCTTTAAACTTAAAAGAAATAAAGATTTGACATATATCGTGATAATTATCGATATCGACTGATATAAAAAAAATTATCGTGATAATTTAAAAAAAATTAAATAATTTAAATAATTCAATAAAAAAAAAATAATAATCTCCCTCGCTGTTTTATGGGTTTACTATGTGGGGAGAAATGTGCTGGTTACATTTGTGAGACAATCAGCTGATTACTATTATTATATTATATTATATATTAAGACCCTTGATCCTCACCTGACTATGGCTTTGTAAACTTTATCCATGATGTGGTTTATAATAGACTGTGGTACAGAAACAGTGACAATGTTACACACTCTTGGCTTCCTCTGGCTATTCTCTGCTGCCTCAGACGACGAGATGTTTGTCCCGTTTGAGCCACCGTAGCTTCTTCAAAAGGGAGGGGTGAGCATTGGGCGGAGCCATTAATGCAACTCGCAACCGATCCGCTAGATGTCACTAAAAATCACACACTGCACCTTTAACTGCATTTATTATTCATAATTCTTGCACATTTCTATTTCCCTCTCAACCTGTTTATTTAGACCATAATCTTGATGTATAGGCTAGCTTCACATTTTAAAACGAACATAAACAAACCTGATGTGAGATCTTCAGCGCTTTGTTCATGAGCCATAGCGGGAATTCAGAAGGTGTCCTTGTAATGGCTTATGTTATTTTGGACTTTCAAACTTCCAAGCCGCAGCTGAGAGCCCAGTTTAGGATGCAGAAAATTGCCAATTGCGTGAGTGAGATTACACTACGCAGCGAGGCGAGCTCATCAGCGGGAACGGCATATCTAATCGCATTAATGCCCAGCTGATGCAGCCAGCCAGTAGACATAACACTGCAAGATATTAAAGGGCAAAGAGATATTTAGATACAATGCAGGTAGAATTCATTAATAACAAGTCTATGATTAAAACAATCAGAATGGCAAAATTGTAAAGTGTCGCTCTGAATATTGGCACAAGCCCCTTTTTTGTGCCTAAAATCCTTAATTGACCTACATACTGTATCATGACATGGTGACAGGATGATGAAAATGCTCTCATTCAAATCTACTTTAGCTTTTTATTGCAATTACAAAATAGGCATAAGAATTGATGTAGCAATTTTAACATTTTTATATATATATATATAAAGTGTTATTGAAATCATATTTGTACTTGTCAGGTAAAGCAGGATCAGTATCATTCATTCTAATGTTAAATGCTTAGATAGTTCACCCAAATATTAAAATTATCGTCTTCATGCATGCAGTATGACGTTCTTCTGTGGGGTGTGCGAGGGACTCTTTCATTGTATATTTTCATAATATTATTCATATTTTGTGTTCCACATGAGAAAGAGAGGTTTGGAATGATGACAATTTTTATTTTGGTGTGAACTATGCCTTTAAGTTTGCTGCAGCAGCACGACTCGAGACGACTGACTTCTTTATGATCTCGCTTAGCTTGACGCCTCTTAAGATTTCCTTCAGCGCTCCCGCTGAGCTACAGTGAACCAGAGAAGACAGACTGTCTGATTCTGCAATATGCTTGCAGTCCCTTCGGTTTGCACCTGCACTGATTTATAGGTTTCATAAATGTCTGACCCTCACACTAGAGAAGCCTCTGTGGACATCCACAGATTATATGGTGCAATAGCTAAATAATGGCGGTATTAAACTGTAAACGCAGCAAACCCCACAAAGGATTTTCAATTATGGCCAATAACAGCTTTTTAAAGGCATTGGATTGTTTTTGGCTGCCTTCCCGTAACATCTAGAAGCGCATCTAGATTGAGATGTGTGAAGACGTCTGGCCGGAGAGCCTGAGGTGGCCATCTGTTTTCTAACGATAAGCTTTGGTTCTTCCAGGCCTGATCCCCACCCGAGGGGAGCCGCGCAGCAGCCTGACTCACTGCAGGAGCAAGATGAGGAGATCTTGGGTTCAGACGATGAAGAGCAAGAGGACCCTAATGATTACTGCAAGGGTAGGAGTCCTGTCCTCACAGTACTGGTGTGCAGTGAAAGCATATTATATGCATTTACAGTGTTTCCCACGGGATTTTTCCCTCTAGGGGGGAATTTTGTACATTTTAAAGCTAAATTAATCAGTCTGGCGTTCACTTCGAGCTCCAACCCATGTTCACAGTGCAAATTAAACAAAGGAAAAAGTTGGTGAATTGACGTACTGTACCTTCTAAACTTTAGACTTCACCTTCGTTTAAGTTGTGATAGTGTCTCTGTCTAAGTTACATTCACACTGGTGTCTTAGAAAGTGAAACAATTAGAAAATAATAATAATATAGTAATTTATATTACTATTCCTCTAACAGTAATAGCCATATATTAAAAAACAAATGCACTGTTAAATATATATATATATATATATATATATAAGGGGTGTAACGTTCACAAAATTCATGGTTCGGTTCGATACGATACACCTGTCACGGTTCGATACGGTTCGTTATGTTTCCGATACAGCAAAAAGAAAGAAATGCCAAAGAGATTTCCTTGATTTAATTTTTTTAAATTATATTTTTATTAAAACTAACATCATAAAGTATGATATTTTTTAACTTTGAGCAATGATGGAGATATACTTGACTTTTCTTAGGAGCTTATTAAACAAAACGGCTCCTTGGACAAAATGAAATGTAATATTGTAGTAGTAATAAACAGGTTTATTTGAGTTCAGATTAACATTTGAGGGCAGTAATTGTATTCATAATGTCAAAATTAAACCGATGTGATGTTACTTGAAAGCATTACAGCCTACTATTCCTGCTAAACTCACTGGATAGTTCCTTCATGGCACAATGTTTGTTCAGTACGAATACGTGTATCGTTACACCCCTAATATATATATATATATATATATATATATTTGTATTTCCTTGCGCTAGAGTTTTAATTTCTACCCAATTTCTACATTTGTAGGAGAAAAACCCTTTTAAAAACGCATTTATTTAGACGGAAACTGCAGTTATTTTTTGGGCGGAAAACCTGACTTAAAACGTAAAAAACGTGTCTCATTACAAATAGAGTAAAATAAACATCTGTCCCAAAAAATATTGGGAATTATGCTTGTGTGAAAATGCGTAGCTGTTGCCCGCTTGGTTCCAATGCATGCTAAACCCTCAGCACATGGTGAGATGGAGTTCACTGGAAACGCAATGTGTGCACTTCCATTGTGCTTATTTCATTAAATCACAGTGATATTGCTATTTGGTAAGGACACGAGGCGATACCGCGCTTTCGATTTTAGTTCTTTTGACAAATACTTTAACAAAGCAATGGCACAAAACAACATTAGAGACTGTTATGAGAAACTTCATTATTAAACTGTGTTGGTTCAGATTATTCTTAGGGCTGCCATATTTGGAAAACACTGCACATATAGAATGATAAACAGGATTCAAAATAATGATTTGGCTAAAGGGCTGCACGATTCGTCGAAATAAAATCACGATATGGTTTAGTGCGATTATTAAATCACAAAGGTTGCAGTTTAATGAAATGAATATATGCGCTGCACATTATAGATTGATGCGCAGCACTTATCTTAATGCACACAAGCAACTCATGATCCAGTGTTTTCAGTGACTCGGAGTGGCATAATTCCCTCTAAATGCTGTTGCACAGCACAGAGACTCTTTTGCGTCGCTTATGTAAACAACATCCGCCAGATTTGTAATGAGAAGCATTTATAATCTTATACTCTATTGTCTGCAAATGAGAAGCTTTAAGGGTTCCCTGTGGTTTTCAGACTAAATAAAAGCTTACCTGTTTAATGTTTGAAACTTAAGAAATGAAGACATAAATATTAGTATCGCAAGCTTTCAGTTGTACTGGAAAAAATATAATTATTTGTATTCAAATTATTTACAATTAATAGTATTCAACTATTGTTTTCATTACATTCTTTTTTTTTTTACTTTAGAGTGAAATACTATTATTACAAACGCAATAGTTCTTATTTTGTTGAATAATGCAATAAAAATCATTATCATAATAATCCTAATAATAATTATCATTATTTATCATATTAATACATAATCATAATATGATTTTTATTGCCATATTTTACAACCCTCAAACAAGCACAACAAACCTTTATTTTATTAAATCATAGTTTTTATTGGAATAAATAATTCAAACAAAGTAAACATTTGATAAAATCCCATGTTGGGTAATAATGGGTGATATTTTGTTTCTCTGAAAATTAGTTTGATATACAAATCATAACAGTGAATAAAGATCATGAAGAATTAATTTGTTCTTAAATTAATTTGTTTTACATTCTATAACCTTGACTTGATCATAAAAATATAGAAAATATAAAAATATATAATTTTCTTGTTTCATTTATTTATTTTCTTTTTATTTATTTGTCTTTTTTTAAAGCATTAAGCAAGCAGCGAAGTGTTTTTTTGTATTCTTTTTTAGAAACAATAGTTAAGGAATATGCCAAACTGCTTAAGGTTATCTTTTTAAAACATCTTTAAAAAAATGGATTGCATTTTTGAATAAATCAAAAGATAACCAGTGTTCATTTTGTACCCTGATGTTTTGTTTCTAGCAGTGTTTTCTAACATCCCCAACATTTTCTAGGTGGATATCACCATGTGAAAATAGGCGACCTGTTCAACGGGCGGTACCACGTAATCCGCAAGCTGGGATGGGGTCACTTTTCCACTGTTTGGCTGGCCTGGGACACACAGTATGTTCACTTACCTCATGGTTTTTCTCTTTCAGTAATCCCATTTATGTATTTGAAGTGTGTGTACGTGGAGGTAATTTATTGTTTTGGTTGCAGAGGGAAGCGTTTTGTGGCCATGAAAGTGGTTAAGAGTGCCGAGCACTACACAGAAACAGCACTCGATGAGATCAAGCTCCTGCGAGCGGTGAGTGACCCCGACACCATAGAAACCATTACGATGAATTATTCGCAAGACCATGAATTCGAGGTGAAGTCAGTTTGTAGCCACATGGCCTGAGGAAAGTAGTTTCATGGAAGGAGAACACTGTTTGTTTTGTAATAAACCAAAGAAAATGGTTTTGAAATGTTCCCTGTAAATCTGTCTGAGAGTTATTTTCTCCAATCCCCATCTGGTGGATTCAGGTCAGGAACACGGACCAGAATGATCCCAGCAGGGAGAAAGTGGTGCAGTTATTGGACGACTTCAAGATCTCAGGCGTGAACGGGACCCGTATCCTTTCAGTACTGAGGACACTGCCTACATACAGTGGTGTGAATAAGTTTTGACCCCCATGCTAAAGTTGCCTAAAAAGAGGAATAAAAAAATCATCTTTTGGATATTTGGAAAAATGAGGAAAACTCCAACCTTTAAGGACACAAATTTTCTTTTTGAATGAATAATGTATCATAAATAAATAAATGTTTTTCCTTAAAATACAGGGTGCATAAGTCAGGGCACCCCTATGTTAAATTCCCATAGAGTCAGGCAGATTTTTATTTTTAAAAGCCAGTTATTTCATGGATCCAGGATAATATGCATCCTGATAAAGTTCCCTTGGCCTTTGGGATTAAAATATCCCCACATCATCACACACCTTCCACCACACCTAGAGATTGGCATGGTTTTACTTCAGTTAGCCTAATAGCTGGTTTGATTTGCATTGAAAGATGATCTTCTGGAAGGTACATCACACAGTGAATGGGGATATTTTAATTCCAAAGGCCAAGGGAACTTTATCAGGATGCATATTATCCTGGATCCATGAAATAACTGGCTTTTAAAAATAAAAATCTGCCTGGCTCTATGGGAATTTAACATAGGGGTGCCCTGACTTATGCATCCTGTATTTTAAGGAAAAACATTTATTTATTTATGATGCATTATTCATTCACAAAGAAAATAGGTGTCCTTAAAGGTTGGAGTTTTCCTCATTTTTCTAATTAAGGCATTAAGATCAATATCCAAAAGATGATTTTTTATTCCTCTTTTTAGGCAACTTTAGCATGGGTGTCCAAACTTATTCACACCACTGTACATGCATAAATCTCCGTGAGACGTCCACTGGTGTGTTTCCAGTGTATTCTATATTTGCTTTTAGGCGCAGCTCAATCTCTTGATCCACAGCTGTGAGACTCGGCGCTTTGCCCAGATTCAGCTCTCTTATTTTTGGAGAACAGCTCGCAGTGAGCTGGAGCTTTTGGCTTGTGTTCCTGAAGAGCTCCAGAGATAAGTTCAGCATCATTTCCCTTTAACATGCTCTGTCAGATGTGTGTATGGTGTTTGAAGTCCTCGGCCACCATCTGCTGAAGTGGATTATTAAGTCCAACTACCAGGGCCTGCCTCTGCCGTGTGTCAAGAGCATTATTCGACAGGTGCATATTTTTCAATCATTGTCGTTTAGTTTGGTTGTACAGAAAGTCAAATGCAATTAACAACTGGGTTTTTTCTCTCTCTCTCTCTGTAGGTTTTGCAAGGCCTGGACTACCTGCACACCAAGTGTAAGATCATTCATACTGATATAAAGCCAGAGAACATCCTGATGGATGTGAATGAGGCGTATGTCAAGAGACTGGCGGCGGAGGCCACAGAGTGGCAGAAATCTGGAGCTCCACCTCCATCTGGATCCGCAGGTGACCCCAAGATCTCCTCTCAGATATGCAAGAGAAACAACGTTTAGATTATCAATAGAGTTCCCACTAGGGTCAGTAATCAAGCTAAAATGCTGATGAAACATATACAAATACCCAAAATATTGAAAAGGTTCAATATTTGTAAAAAAAAAAAAAATTATAATTTTTCCATCCTCGTTTTTACTCTCTACTTTACATCTACTGATGGTCTTACATCCAACATCAGTATCGCGCCTGCGATTGATGGACAGACATGAGTTGTTCAGAGCACATCTTGATTAACCCTCTGGGTCAATTTTCTCTATTTTTACATTTGGGCTTATAAACTATATGAAATGGAGATGCAACACTATGTGTTTGGTATCTATGCATTCAGAAGACCCTAAGCGAACATAAGCATGCATGTGATGTGTTTATAAAGGAAGTATGACTGAAAAATGTACAATATACTAGAGAATTTCAAAAACGGAAATTCTGAAAATTACACATCGCACAAAAATAGTGAATAGTTTTTGGACAAAAAATATATTTGTCAAAGCCTTTGCTTGACAGACATGTGGAATTGTTAAATAAAATGTGTAAAGAACAATGAGAAATCTAACTTTATTTACAAATAGTCCCAGGCGTTTTTCTTAGGAATGCTTAGAATTTTCTAAGCAATGCTTTCTCCTCGTCACTCTCCAGTAATTGAGCCTGTTCCACCGTAAATCCTTTACTGCTTGCCATCATAAAAGAGCTAAAATAATAAATAATGCTATAATTGTGTGTGTGTGTGTGTGTGTGTGTGTGTGTATGTATATATATATATATATATATATATATTAGACATTTTCAAACTATCGGTTATAATGGCCAATAAATGAATATTTCAAAAATAAAATAAAAACAGACGAAACACGCTTCAATCATCTCTCCTTGGCCTGTTAAATTGAAAATGTATGTTTTACAATTTGCAGTATGACGTTATCTATTGCTAAATTATGGCTCATCATAGACTGGCTAACCTGACATTGTAATTATAAGGTAGCTTATAATGCAATGTAGAGACTAATTATTATTTTATTTATCAGAACTTTAATATATTTAGATCTTCCTCTGTTCTGTTGTGACAATAAAAGAAACAAGTTTCTTTTTAAAATGCTTTATCATATTATTTTAGTTAAAACTCATAAATAACTACAAATAACTATGTTAGGGAAATCTGTTAATGTTTTGTTGCGCGTTTCTGAGAAGAAAAAAAAAATATATATATATATATATATATCGGTCGATATATCGGATTTTAAAACCTAAAAATATTTGTATCGGTATCGGCCTTCAAAATCCTTTATCGGTCGGGCTCTAATATATATATATATATATATATATACGCGTCCATTCGCTTTCTGTCGTCTCCTCCTCCACTCCACGCTGTTTGCGTCATATCCCTTACTATATAGTACGACCCCTTGCAGGGCTACAGAGTCCTCGATTTGCTAGAATACGTCATGGTAACCTTTCCCTGATTGGGTAAGAAAAACATTTCTCCATCTGCAATTTTTCCATCGGTTGTTGCTTGTGAATCTGCCAAACAACATCGATTTCATTGGCCTTTGACGGTGTGTATAAAAGCCGGGTCTCTCCGGGTATCCGGTTATCACTGTTTTAAGATAAGTACACATTTGTAAAAGTATGTTTTTTTGGGCGGTACCGCCCAATCCGTCCTTATAGGGTTAAAAGGTACAATGGTAGAGGAGAATAATTCATATTTTAAACTGGAAAGTTCGTTTTGAGTTCTGAAACTTGCAGTATGTTTTTATTGTAAAGGAACCTCTTATTTGTTTGAATATCAAGAACATTTCATGACCCCTTTAAATATCTTGCAAAATGTCCATATTTTTATCTATTCACAGGAATAAATGACATTTTAAGGCTTATTTAAAAAAAAAATGCAATAACATACTGCGCCCAAACAGAATGGTACTGTAATGTATAAAGAATAGGAATATCTAGTTATTCTTAAAATGTGTTTTTATTGGCTAGAAATCACAAATAACTGTAACGGTTCTGGACATGTATTGGTCGAAAACATTTCAACTGGATCAGGGAGTTCATGAATGCTCTGTTACTTACAGAATATTGTTATTGATGTGATTTTATGAGATCGTCTGCAGGTTTATTTAGCTGTAACTAAAGAGTGCTACCTCTCAGCATTGAACATCTCCATTGATATATTATTCAGAGTGACGTAAAGTCTGCGGGATGTTTCTAAATGGAGAGCAGTGACTCATGTGCTCATCTAAACAACTGAAGGATGACAAATTCCCACAGTGTGAATCTCTGGAGAAGCTCATGTGCACTACTTTTGAACTCTGTGTAGCTTCATGACGTTGATTGTGCGCAACAAGATGCTGATGTTGTCTTGTGTTTTCTTCCTCTTCCTCCACTGCAGTGAGTACAGCTCCAGCCCCCAAACAAGTGAGTGTTCCCCGGAGTCGATTCACACGTTTACTCTTCCACATCTGTTATTCAAATAAAACTCAAATTCGTCTCGATGGATTGTCTCCTTCAGATGGCCAAAATGTCCAAGAACAAGAAGAAAAAGATGAAGAAGAAACAGAAGCGTCAGGCTGAGCTCTTGGAGAAGAGGATTCTGGAGATCGAAGGACTGGAGAAAGGGCCTGAGGAAGAGGAGGATGAAACGGAGACGCCCGACAGCACCCCATCAGTCCCCAGCAGTCACACACTGCATGACATCACAGCCGAGGGCACGCTGGGTGAGGGAGACACTTGATTATTAGGATTTAGTACGGTTAGAGCAAGGCTTGGCTTGACTTGGGCCGGTAAGCAATAGAGTCAGACCGATATATCGGCAAGCCGATATTAGACATTTTCCAAACTATCGGTATCGCCAGTTATAATGGCAGATAAATGAATATTTCAAAAATAAAATAAAAACGGATGAAACACCCTTGAACTATGTCATGAGTGTTGGAGTTGTATAGTTTGTCCACCAGAGGGCAACCTGTTGTATTGAAAATGTATGTTTTAGAATTTGCAGTATGACGTCATCTATTGCTAAATTATGGCTCATCATAGACTAGCTAACCACAAAGCTAGCTAATGCCACTGTAATCAGTCTGTTCTGTTTATTTACTGTTTATTTGAATAGGGACAAATACAAAAAAATCTGTATCATAGTGTTTATAGCCAAGGCTAATTCGCAACACCAGTCCCTAGAAGGGCTTTTAACAATCAAGAGAAAAGAAAAAATGACAGTGAATACAATAAAATGTCAATGTTGTGACAATAAAAAAAACAAGTTTCTTTTTAAAATGCATTATCATATTATTTTAGTTAAAACTCATATATAACTACAAATAACTAATGTTAGGGAAATCTCTTAATGTTTTGTTGCGCATTTCTGAAATAAAAAAAATAAATAAAAAAATATCGGTCGATATATCGGAATATCGGATTTTAAAACCAAAAAAATATTTGTATCGTATCGGCTTTCAAAATCCAATATCGGTCGGGCTCTAGTAAGCAATAGAGCTGCTACACACTTCCTGATTCAGTTCTGATTCACCAGCTCTCTATGTGATTCGGAATCATTTGGGTGTATTAAAGAGATTGGAGGTAATAAATCTGTCCATTTCCCAAAATATGTTCCCAAGCATGTGGAAACCAGCTATTGTTATGCTAGTTTTTAAAAGTGGTGATCCTCATTCCATTTCAAACTACCGGTTCTGTTTAATGAAATAATTTTGATTCACTAAACAGAACCGGTTTCTTAAAGAGTAATTGTGAATTGAATCATACTGGCTGAGATTTTAACAAACTATTAGATTGTATTAGATTGCAATTAATTAGAAAAAACATAATTTTACCGAGCCCCAGTAAGCAAGCGCCTAGCAACCGCAGATCAGTGCGCTCAGAACACCTTAGCAACTGCTTAGCAATCCATCAGCAACACCTTAGCATTATATCGTCAAGCACAGGCAAACATCACATACGTTTTCTTGAAAACTAAATGTAAATCTAAAGCAGTTGTTAATGCAATTAATTATATCATTATTAACTAGCTCTGCTCAGTAGGCGCTAATATTTGTGCAATATGTGTAGTGCCCCTCGCATCCCAGTCGTTATGAAAAAAACATGCTTCCAGCTACTGTCTTCATCAATTATGACTGGTGTTGCTGCTCTTCAGAGACTTCCGCCATGAGAAATCAGCGTTTCAACTGCGAGATTGTATTGAAATCCAACCTTTTGATCTTTTTCCCACTCCAGACGGAGTCTCAGATGGTTGGTCTCAGCTCAGAGGCGGCGTCAACGGCCACAGCCCGGGCCTCGAGGACGAGCCGGGCCTCGATCTCCAGCAGCAGATGAAGGACGACACCCCCGTGAACCCCTACGACAGCGGCACCGAGGGCTCCGACCCTACTAACCCTTACCCAGCATGCAACGGCACCGAAGAGAAAGAGCCCAGTCCTCCGTCCCCTGCCGCCACAGACGGTAATGGACCTTTGATTTGTGGCGTTGTTGAGTCACAGTGCCCTAGGGTGCAGGATCAAGAGAGCCCCACGACGGAGCTGAACGGCTCTGTTGAGGGCCCCAGAGTGGAGGTGGGCCTCACCATGGAGGTGGATCCCAGCGCGCAGGCGGTCACAGAGGAGGAGAGCCTGAAGGACGGTCAGTGCGGAGCTCTCGCTGGAGGAACGACCCTCTCTTTAATTCTCTGTTTGCGCCTTACTAACTGCCCTCCCTCTCTCTCTCTCTCCGCGTCTGTGTGTTTCCTACAGTCTCCTAACACTGAACTGGTTTTGCTAATATACTAAAACAATCTGATTTTGCTGTGTTTGAAGGAGTAGTTCACTTTTGAAAAAACTTTTGCTGAAAATGTACTCACCCCTATGTCATCCAAGATGTCCACGTCTTTATTTCTTCAGTCGAAAAGAAATTAAGGTTTTTGATGAAAACATTCCAGGATTTTTCTCCATATAATGGACTTCAATGGGAACCAAACGGTTCAAGGTACAAAAGACAGTTTCAGTGAAAACTGCAAACTGTTCGAAATCAAAACGAACGAATCTTTTTCCGAGTCATTTGGGTCATTCAACAAACGAAATGAATGAATTGACTCGGAAAAAGATTTGTTCATTTTGATGAACTAGTTCGAACAGGAGAACGTGCAAAACAGAACAGAACAAGACGAGCATTTGAGCTTCTAAAACTTAAACTTTGTTATTTATTTATTAAATGAGCGATCGTTTCACTTGATAAGACCCTTATTCATCGTCTGAAGTCATTTAAAGCCCTTTGAACAGTTTGTAGTTTGCACTGAAACTGTCTTTCGGACCTTGAACCGTTTGGACCCCATTGAAGTCCATTAGATGGTGAAATGAGTGTTTTCATCAAAAACCTAAATTTCTTTTCAACTGAAGAAAGAATGACATGAACATCATGGATAACATGGGGATGAGTAAATTATCAGCAAAAGTTTTTTCAAAAGTGAACTACTCTTTAATGGCAGTATTAATCCAGGAAAGGGACAGTTCACACACAACATGCTTTCGATGAAGTAGTGGTGGGAGTTATGATCAAAATCTTGTATCAAGATATGAGTAATTTTACTTCACGATAACGATATAGTTAGTTATTTTTGCTTTTAAATAAGGTTTTTAATGATATTGATATGAACATATTTCATACCCTTGAAATTTCATAATTATTATCACCATTTTCAATATCATTTAAAAAACTAATACTAGCCCCCCCCAAAAAACTCTCAAGCTCACTGAAGACCAGTAAAGTGATAAATTAAATAAACCTAACTGAAAAATTTCAAGCATAAATAAGAAATTCTATAAATATGAATAAAACTCTGCATAGGCTTCACTATATAAATAAAATATACATTTATTCTTATTACAGTTACGAAACCGATTCAGTCAAGAGCAGTGAGAGATTGTTTTAGTTTGCTGTTGTTTGATCAACACTAATAACAACAGTGCGTTTGGACGCTGTCACTTTAAGACCGGCTACACGCATCCATTATACTCGTGCGTTTTCTTTACTTCCGTTCAGACAAATTATTATTTTTACACAGGTATTAATATTTCACCGTTCTAGCCCATTTGGGCGTGAAAAAGCAGTCAGTTCAGTTTACACGTGCTCTACGAGCAGCGGCTTCATGCCGAAATGAGTGCTCTTGATGCTTATTACGGTTTAAAATCACCTATTCATAAATGACATTGTTAAAAGATGCATGCATTGCAAACGATAAGCTTTCGTGACCGCACAGCAACATCTCGTGACCTGAGCGTCACCACGATAGAGAAGATGGTCTTAAATCTCTACCAGTCTCTTTTCCAGTGTTTTAATGCAGAAGCCTCAGAGCAAACCACAGCAGAAAAAGGTCATGACCCAAGCTGTCCAAGAGCTCAGGAGCAGTTTATTAAAGCTGTCAGCTGATCTGACACATTTCTTGTTCTTTGTAATGAGGTTGTGATGTTTTCCCCAGCCACATAAGTGTATGTTCTTCTCTCTGAGTGTTAGACAAGCACAGTCATGAGGGTATTTCTATTTCATCAAACATTCACAGCAAGATAAACTTCAGATTCTTGAGCAAGCTTACATGAATCTATCTATCGTTCTATCTATCTGTTTGTCTCTGTGTGTCTATCTAAATATATTTGTCTATATCTCTATTTATCTCTACGTAAAAAATTCCTGCGGCGCGAATGAGGCGTAGAGCGCAGCGCGGAAGATGCCAATACGCCTCATTCGCGCGACAAGTTAATGCGAATTGAGCTTCTGCCGCGTTAAGCGCGAATGATTTAGTTAGTGCTATTTGTACATTAACGCGTTTGACGCGAATTCGCGTCTGCCGCCCAAGTTGAAAAATCTGATCTTTGGCGTCAATTTGCGCCACGTTAAAGGGTTAGTTCACCCAAAAATGAAAATTAAGTCATTAATTACTCACCCCCATGCTGTACCAACCCCGTAAGACCTTCGTTCGTCTTCGGAACACAAATGAAGATATTTTTGATTAAATTTGAGAGCTGTATAACTACCACATTGGCTCCTAAGGGACTGCCTCTTGACGGCCCAGAAAGTCAATGAAGAAAATGTTTAAATATCCCAAGTGACTACCGTGGCTCAACTATATGTTTATCAAGCGACGCGAATACTTTTTGTGCGAAAAAACAAACAAAAATAACGAGTTTATTCGACTATTTCTTTTCTTCCTTGTTGGCCTGAACGAGACTTCCTTATAGATTTCCACGACGCATGCGCGAGAATTGCGATCTGAAGTAGTGTAAGCTGGTGTAAGCAGTTTGCAATTCTCACGCATGCGTCGTGGAAATCTAAGAAAGTCTCGTTCTGGCCTACAAGGAAGAAAAGAAATAGTCGAATAAACTCGTTATTTTTGTTTGTTTTTTCGCACAAAAAGTATTCTCGATAGATGTTTTTATTCTGCTGCTGATATTGATTAATAGAGAGCTGCTTCTATTAGACTCAACATCCTACAGAGCTTTATAAATCAGCAAACACTGAACCTCATAAGAGCCGACACTGAGTGTGTGTGTGTGTGTGTTATTGACTCTAAATCGTCTTTCTCCTGCTTCTGTTTTACTGCAGCTAAGAATGCTGCGGGAAACCTGCTCCTTAACCCCCTGGAGCCGCTGAACTCGGAGAAGATCCAGGTGAAAATCGCTGACCTGGGAAACGCCTGCTGGGTGGTGAGTCTGGAGTTTTCAACACATGTATAACAAAAAAAACAGCTCAATCAGAGAGTGATAGTCCACCCAAAAATGTCATTTATATTTAGCCTGGTTGGTTGATACATTAGTTGAATTTACTAGGGCTGTAGTCAACCAAAGAAATCCTTAGTCGACCAAAGTCGAGTCCTGCGCAACGATTAGTCGACTAAAAAAAAAAAACCGTGATGTTTTGATTAAACATTTTTTAAACAATTGTCATTGAGCATTTATAAAATAACAACGAAAAAACATCACAAATAAATAAAACTATAATAATAATACAATTCTTTGAAAATTAAGTGATTTTTTAACTGCAAAAAGAGAAGAGCTCTGTTCTCGGTCTATAGTAACAGTCACAATCGCGCACCTGACCACACCACACGCTGCAAAACATATAACTGCTATCTGCCACATCATGAAAAATCCCAACAAAAGCTCTCGTTTATACAGGCTTTATATTCTTCTTTACTTTCAAAGCTATGGGTTAACTTTAGTCCTGACGATCAAGGCGTTTTAAACAACACACAAAAAACCCAAATAACTTAAAAACAATCCTAATAATAGGCTGTAGGACCGCGTATAGGTTTATTTTCGTTTTGTTGCATTATTTAGGCTATTTTCAAATGCGTCAAGTGTACAAATAAAAACGAAAACATTAAGAAAACACAATCTATTGAGTCAGCATGATAAAGCCATTAAAAGGCTGCTTGCGTCTTTTGCGCGCTCAAGTTCGATTTCAAATGTAGGCGCGCGACTTGCGCGCTCATAATGGCAACGCGATCGCCTCCCTCCACAGTCTTGTCGTCTTTGTTTTAAAATGCAGCCAGACAAAAGATTTATATTTCCTGGACATTTTGTCGACTAAAGCCAAAACAAGCAGCGTTCTAACTGAATGAACACAGCATCCCTTACCGAGCGCGAGCAGCAGCGCAGCCAGCCACAGGTGCGGTTCCCGAGTGTATTATGTGTGTGCGCTAAACTGTGGCGCAGTTACAAAAATAGCCTAAATTAAAGCATTTTAAAGTTGGGGACAAAGCATAGGCTAATTATATTTAGAATACAGTATTAAATAACTGCTTATAAATGAATAACTATCAAGGAGTAAATCATTGAAAAATTCTTTCTATTGGTAAAAAAAAACAAAACAACTGCAACTGGTCGACCAATAAGAATGTCAGTCGACCAAGACGGCATCGACCGATTAGTCGACTAAACGACTAAAGTTGACAGCCCTAGAATTTACTGATATCTTCATGGGTTTTCAGTGGTTGGTTCCTCCTAATTTAACTGGTTTGTCGTCATCAGCATAAGCACTTCACAGACGATATTCAGACGCGGCAGTATCGCTCTCTGGAGGTGCTGATTGGATCAGGATACGGGACCCCAGCTGACATCTGGAGCACAGCCTGCATGGTGCGTTTATATAAGAAACACTGTTTTTGATTCTGATATATGGGATAAAACTCCGCTAGTGAAGTGTGCCGTTCCAAAACATCCAGGTTTTGAGTCTCTCTTAGTGAGATGCCTGGTATAGAGCCAGTGTTGTAGTACTCGAGACTCGGACTCGGTCTCGAGACCATATTTTAATGGTCTTGGTCTTGTCATGGACTCGTGTCCATTTGGACTCGGAATTGACTCGTACTCGAACATTTTTTTTTAGGACTCGGAATTATTCCCGAGTCCACTCGAGTTCAATTCAAAATATTTTTCATGATTATTAATGTATGTTAATAAAATATTTCTTTAAATTGATTGACACGCCCAGTGATTGGTGATTTTCTAGTGTGCAACTGCGCATGACAAATTGTCATAAAAAAATTATTTTAACACCACCTACTATGTGGCCTTTTTACCCTAAACTGATCATATTTTTTAAACTCTAAGTAAATTCAGTAAAAAAAAAAAAAAAGAATTTCTCTAAGTAAATAAAAGTAAATTAGGTAATCAACCCTCACTGGTCTCGGTCTCGACTCGGACTCGACTCTCTCTGGTCTCGGTCTCGACTCGGACTCGACTCTCTCTGGTCTCGGTCTAGACTCGGACTCGAGTGAGGTGGTCTCGACTACAACACTGTATAGAGCACCAACTTTCCATGACCCAAATAGCTTTCCATGTGGAAACTTGACTGAGTTTGGTGTTAGCCTGTTGCTAAAGTAATGACCCTATACTTAAAGGGATACTTCAGGATTTAGCATTAAGCTTTGTATTAGTAGGAAACCTGAATTACCGTGCTTTCCACCCTCATATCCCCCCGAGACGAGAGATTTATGTATTTTTTGTCTGGGAAATCCTCCGATGACCCAATAATCGTTATTTTGAGTCATCAGAGGATGTTCTGTCCAGAGGCTAAAGACTACAGTCAGTATTCGGGTCTGTCCCGCATGTCCTCAACCCGCCCATAGAGGGTGATCTCACTCACAGAATGAACACATAGTGTCGGCCATCTTTTTTTGGAAGCTAAGGGGATAGTTCACTTTGAAATAAATTTTTGGTATGTTTTAGCTTACCTCAAGGGCATCCAAGATGTAGGTCTTTGTTACCACAGTATTTTCAATTTTGATATTTTTAGGTCAAAGCGTTCTTGTCTGTCAGTCATATAATGGAGGTCTATGGTCACCACCTCAAAGAGCATGCACAGAGAAGTCCAAATTAAACATGATTTAATGACTCGTAAATGTAAGTACACATCATTAGCCTAAGACACGAAACGAGCGGTTTGTGTAAGAAAAATAACAGTATTTATATAGTTTTTACCTCTTGTAACCACAGCCACGTCCATGTGATCTGGTTACAAGTGGTAAAAATACATTTTCTGGCTTCTCTCAGTCTAGAAAGCTCCAAATTCAAATATAATTTCACATTTCTTATGACCCATTTTAAATACACATTCATCTTTCCAGAGGTGAAGTATCCCGTTAAGTTGTACTCCAAAATTCCAAAATGAAATTTTCTTTAATATTTTGTTATGGTAATAAACAGTAAAGTGAGGTTAAACTCCATCTGTATCAGCATTTCAAGCCCGCTGCGTAACGAAAGAGTCTTGTCACGTTGTGGCGGCTTCAGTTCGGGCAGGGGTGAGAAGGTTGGTTTGGCCTTTTAGATAGCAACCTGCCATCTAGAGAACTGGATACTAGGAACGCTGTGTCCGCACACACATATATTGGTCTTCTCAAAGTGTGTGTCTTTCTAGGCATTTGAGCTGGCGACAGGGGATTACCTGTTTGAGCCTCACTCCGGAGAGGATTATTCCAGAGATGAAGGTAATTACTCTTCCACAGGTTGCCAGGGTTCACACACATTTTTACCAATACATTTCCATGACTTTCCCATTTTATTTTGAGGCAATATTCATGACAGTCTTTGTATACTGGCCAAATAAGAATAAAAAACATGTTTAAATTAGTGCTGTCAAACGAGTAAAATAATTAATCACGATTAATCGCATTAATGTCAGTTAACTCGTGATTAATCGCACATTTTTATCTATTCTAAATGTCTTTTGATTTCTTTTTGTTACATTATTTTTTTTCTCATTTTAATGCTCTTATCAACATGGAAAAGTGGATCGGCTTGTTTAGTGCAAATGTTTATTTATTTATTTATTTTATTTTTTACGTAACGTTACTATTTGGCCGGCTCGCAAGCCGAAACGAGTGTGTGTGGCACAAAACGTCCTCACGCTGCGCTCTGAAACCCATTCATTTCAATGGCTTGCGCCGCGCGAGGACGTTTTTTTTGCTTCTTCGACCAAAACGCAAGCAGATCTAGACCGTAAACAAAACAACAGGCACGCCGCAAACACACGTTTGGGCTTGTGAGCCGGCTTTGAGTGGATGACGAGCGCGAGACGCCAAAATGGATCAGGACGCATGCGGCGTCCTGTTGCAAAAGCATGTGAAAAAACGACAAAGTTTGCTAGGACAAAAAGACCGTTAATCGCGCGATAAAAAAATTAACGCCGTTAATAACGGGTTAAACTGACAGCCCTAGTTTAAATGTATCATAGATCTAAAATCAATGACTATTATTGCTAATCAATTGCTTGCTATTTTTAATAAATTAAAGCTGTGACTGTGCCAGAGGTTTCCCCACGTCATGCGATGCCCGAATGTGTTGAAATTTGTTTTAAAAATATTAGCAATTAAACCAGGGCATGAATTTTGTTTTGGATGATGTAATTAATTGAAAACATATATTTTTTAACAATACAATTACCTCGGGTAAATCCTAAATGCTTGCTCTGTGTACTGTATGTGTTTTTACTTTAGAGTAATTTTTGCACAATATCGTACAGGGAAGCTTGAATTGAATTGACAAAGTCAGAAAAATAAAAACAAGCAGTTGCACAAATAAATACTATAGAATAAATAGAAATGAACTGGGGTTTTTATGCACTGGGCAGATCTAATAGTAGTGTTCAGGTACAGAAATACAAAAAAAAAATAAGTGCACAAATGTGAAATAATACTGGATAGTTTCACTGTAAATTAAAAACAGACTGTTTACATTTGAAGACACAACAAACTTTGTTGACGAGGATACTCACCAAGACCAACATTTTGAGATAATTGTGTTTTTGTCCATTTAAGCACAATATGCCACAGAAAATGTGGTTCTTGCGAGCTGTTTGCGATGTGCGCACGATTTGGACGTGACTGAGAGCGCACAGAAAAGTTAAGCACTGTATTAAAAATATTGCTTGGAATCACTTAAAAAAAACTTGAATTTTTAAATTGACAAGACTTAAATAGATGTGCAAATGATAAACTTTTGTGACGATGCAACACTGTCCTGATTGGCCAATTGTCCGGAAACCTGAGCGAAAGTCTTGTATCACTGTGTGCAGTGCAGACGCAAGTGCTGATGTAAAGCCGTTCGTGTCATAATAAGAGAGAAAGATATTTGTGAAACAAATTTCCATGACTTTTCCAGACAATGACTTTTCCAGGTTTTTTACGCCCATACGAACCCCATGGTTTGGATTCCGCCCACACAACTTCTCCAGACCCGCCGTGAATCAAAAAAGCTCTAACACATGAACAAACAGTTACGACGAGAGAACAAATCACACTATGCCTATTAATTAGCACTTGAACGAGAGCCATTGCAAGTTTACAAATGACTCCCAATGCATCCATCTCTCAAGCGCAGTGTAATATTTGAGCTGTCATTACGGAGGGGAATCGCTGGAGAGGTTGTGTCCTCTAAGCTGTGTTCAGACCGCCAGCAAAAATCATTTTTTTTGTATGTCCAGATTTGATCAAGATGGGTTTTTGAAAGTCTGGACAGCAAATTTGGTTCACATAATATACTGAGGTCGACATTTCCCCAAACACGCTGATCCAGCCGACCAATCAGAACACACTGTGCTTATCAGAAGGCGGGGCTTCATAGAGACAGGAACTAAACAGAGTGTTACTGACAGACTGGGAATAGAGGAGCCACAACTATGGAGAATATTTATGAAATAATGTGTTTTTTGAACATTCAAGCATAAAATCCTTTTCTAGTAGAGCCCAAAAATCAAAATCAGTACCCTCTGATGGTCCTCGGTCACAAGTTATGACTGAATAATTTTCTGTTTTGAATTTTAAAAAATCATAGCTTCATAGGAAGGTTATGATACTTGGTGACTTTTCTTGCATTTGGTATGTGAATACAAAAAAAAATTGAAATCATGATCCGAGCATGCTAAGTCTTTGGTCAAAAATGACCAACCCATAGGAAATTTGGACATTTGAATGGGAAATTTACAAAAACACAAAAGTTCTCTGAATTTTTGTACAATCTACAAATCGGCCACGATTCTAAAAGACAGTACACCGCAGTAAAGGGGTGACACTCTACAACATCAAGAGTGCAAAAAATTCACACACACACATACAAACACACTTTTATACACATACACACCAATAAATTCAGATTTTAAAAAAATCTGTTTTGAATTGTTTAAAATCACAGCTTCATCTGAATTTTACGAAACTTTGTGACACTTCTGGCATTGGGGATGTGAACACAAAAAAAATTGCGTTCGTGGTCCGAGCATGCTAAGTGGTCGTAAAAAATTAGTCACGATTTTGGTCTTCGGTCAAAAATGACCCCCATAGGAAATGAATGGGAAACACTTTTTTTATCACTATTTCTAAAAAAAAAATTAAAACTTAATAAGAAATCATTTTTAAGATTGTTTCAAATATATATTTAAATCCTCCACACACAAAAAAATTGGAATAGATGAAGTTTTATTTTTATGTGTCCGGCGGTCACTTCTGACTGGGAATGCTCAGGACGTGACTCCTAAACGAAGACCATCAGAGGGTTAATATATGCTCTTTCAAAAATTCAAATAAAGAGAAAGGCCCATTATGTCCTCTTTAATATACAGGTACAATAGGACTTGTTTTGTTCACTAAATTCAAGGACAAACATTCAAGGTTTTATCAGACCAATTCAAGTCAATAGTTTTAAAAGTTCCATCTAATGCTTGTAGTAAATGGTTGTCTTTTGTGAACAGATCACATCGCGTTGATTATCGAGCTGCTGGGGAAGATTCCTCGTAAACTCATCATGAATGGCAAATACTCCAAGGAATTTTTCACCAAGAAAGGTACATCTGTCAATAGACACACGTGTCACATGAGTAATCGCTCAGCTAATGTGTTTCACTTACTCACAGTGTTCAATGTCATAGATTGATTAACGAGGTATGTCAGCGCTGCCATTAATGGGATGGCCAAACATTTTTGGGAGCGTGCGTAAATGTCACTATTCTGAAACTCATAGTTCTCACTTTAACTTTTAATTGGATGTGTCCATCCATTTGTTTGTGTGCTAGGTGACCTAAGGCACATCACCAAGCTGAAACCGTGGGGTTTGCAGGACGTGCTGGTGGAGAAGTACGAGTGGGCCCGAGACGAAGCCCAGAACTTCGCGGACTTCCTCATCCCGATGTTAGACCTCATCCCAGAGAAAAGAGCCACGGCTGCCGAATGCCTCCGTCACTCCTGGATCGCCTCCTAGTGGCCAAAACCACACACAAACACACACACACATGCGCACTTCTCTGAACTCATGAATGCTCACCACTGACAGACGCTGTCTTAAGAGCCGTTCCTGGTGTCCTGGCAGAAATTAGCCGCAAGGACGAGAAGGTCCGGTCAAGCAGATCTAATCTGAAGTTGTTCGTCGTTGCTTTTTTACGTAATTTCAGTGGTGATTTCTCTAACAATCACTTTTCTATCAGTTTCCGTCATATCACAGGATGGTTTGAAACGTGTCCGGGTTGATTTGTCTTCTCGACAGGTTGGACTTTGTCAACTTAGTGTCCATTTTCTTAAAAGCAAGAGTGTTTGGAGTAAAACGGACTCAGTAGCTGATTGTAGTTTTTCTTCAGTGTTTTAACAAACGATGTTTTCCTTGTCTTCACAGAGGGTTTCACATCCATGTCTGAATGAAGGGAGCATGAAGGGACATTATTGAAGTTCTGAGTGTCTTCAAATTGAATGTGAGCTACCGTACAGTGCAGGAGAAACACACACATGTAGATTTACCACAGAGGGCAAAAATAAAAGGTTAGAATTTCCCATTTTGATTTTAGGATTATCATGGTTAGAATAACTCGTCGTATAACAGTAATAATGACCTTTAATATGTGAATGCCAGGGAGGAGTTTTGGGATCAAGGTTTTTTTGAGTAACATAATCTAAAATCAGTGAGAACGTTTCACATTGTGTACATACTCATACCAAAGAGTTGGTTCGTCACACGATCAGTGTTGTACAGTCTTAAGCCCCATTATTTGTGTACAGTTTTGTTATAAATGAATGGCTTAAGAAAAATGTTTAAGAATCACTGATTCGGAGATGCCTTGAAATGAATCTGTGCATCTCTTGATGCTTTTTCTTCCCAGTGTTGCTTCAAGCAATATTAGTTTTTGTCCTAGTTTAACTTTGAAAGGCCTTCGCGTTCTCTTGGATAAGCCAGTTTCGTTTGAGCTTGATCACAAACATCATCCTCTGCTTCTCTGCTCTCTGTTTTCATGAATGTCTCTGCTTTTGCTTGTTCAGCACTGAACTCAAATTGTTTCTGTAGTAACTTTAAATAAAGTTTTTGAAATGGCTTTTGGGACTTCAAAGTGTATGTAGTTTAGATTGACGGCAAAAAACGTACATTGACAAGAAGTGAAAGCCAATAGAACGTTTCATTGCAACACCAGCATCCGCCATTTTGGGGTGAAAGCGGCTCGGCGGTCATATATTATACATATATTTAGTCCAGTGCAGAGGTCATTTTTAGGTTGAAATGATTAGGTGATTATTTTAACTCACAACAGTTAACGTTATACCAGATAAAAAGAAGTTGCTACGTAACCAGGCTTTCCCCCCCCCCCCACATAACTTGAGACAGGGAAGTTAATTAATTATATTACTGTCTACTTTAAGTGTGACTGGTAAGAATAAAGTGATATCAGTTCATAAAGTTATAATAACCTTAGACCGTTTCCAGGAGGTACACATAACGTTACTTACAAATTAAGTTATCAATGAAATAAATGAATTCAGCAAATAAATGTAATTGTACTAAAATGTAAATGTTGGACAATAAATATATAACACCAATAGAATAGCTTTACAGTAAACTGTTTTTTTTTCTTCAGTTTTATCTTATATTAATGAGCGTTAAAGCTAGACTATGTCAACAACAACAAAAAAAACAGCCACTGTCCAAAGTGGCAATTAAAGTTACACAGCAATGCATCATGTTCTATAAGATCATCATGTTTGTAGCATGATTCAGGGGATTAAAACGTACACAATATATTTCAGGCCTAGTGGAGCTGGTAACTAATAATAGTAGTAAAGGTGTAAAGTTGATTAAAATGGAAATATTCACTAATGCAAGAAAAACTACCTCAAAAAACTGTTATCTGTGGTGTTGTCCAGTAACTCCAGTTGGAATTTTCACCCCAAAATGGCGGCCGCGCCACCTAGTGGCTGTTACCAAAAAAGCATCAGAGTTTCGCCTATTGTTCTTCTATACTCTTTGTTAACGGTAACACTTTACAATATGGTTTCATTTGTTAACAAACTAACAATGAACAATACTTTTAATAATAAAATCCAAAGTTGTATCCCTTAATGTTAATGCAGTGTGAACTACTATTAACGAGGCTAATTAATGCTGTACAGATACAGTACATTGATCATTGCTAGTTTGTTAGTTAATGCATTAATTAATGTTAACAAATGAGACCTTAAAGGATTAGTTCACTTTTGAAAAAACTTTTGCTGATAATTTACTCACCCCCATGTCATCCAAGATGTCCACGTCTTTCTTTCCTCAGTCGAAAAGAAATTTAGGTTTTTGATGAAAACATTCCAGGATTTTTCTCCATATAATGGACTTCTATGGGAACCAGACAGTCCAAGGTTCAAAAGACAGTTAATAACAGTTTCAGATGCAGCTTCAAATGTCTTTAAACGATACCAGACGATGAATAAGGGTCTTATCATGCGAAACGATCGGTTATTTCAAAACTTATTCCAAAAATGTAACTTTTCTAAGGACAAATGCTAGCCTTGCTCTATTCTGTGAGGGGCGTTTGCAACGTCACGTAATACGTAATTACGTCCAAAAGGTCACGGGCGACGTAGCCGAAAGTACAGAGTCAGTGTTTACAAGTTGAACGCATAGGTTGAACGTGCAAACTAGCTCAAACACCGTTTACAAAAAAGGAATTAAAAGGAAAAACAACGATGTCGGACGATTTTGATTCTGAACTTCCGGCTACGTCGCCCGTGACCTTTTGAACGTAATTACGTATTACGTGACGTTGCAAACGCGCCTCAGAGAATAGAGCAAGGCTAGCATTTGTCCTTAGAAAAGTTACATTTTTGGAATAAGTTTTGAAATAACCGATCGTTTCGCATGATAAGACCCTTATTCATCGTCTGGTATCGTTTAAAGACATTTGAAGCTGCATCTGAAACTCTTATTAACTGTCTTTTGGACCTTGAACCGTTTGGTTCCCATTGAAGTCCATTATATGGAGAAAATCCTGGAATGTTTTCATCAAAAACCTTAATTTCTTTTTGACCGAGGAAAGAAAGACGTGGACATCTTGGATGACATGGGGGTGAGTAAATTATCAGCAAAAGTTTTTTCAAAAGTAAACTAATCCTTTAATGTAAAGTGTTACATGATTAACTTTGATTCATATCACAAAATAACAGCATGTCCCATTTCATCTCTGAATAAATGAAGTGCACGTTGATTTTAATTTGTGGAAGACTGTTGTAAAGCGAGTTAGAGCTTTCATGTCTTCACAGAATGATTATAGCACAGGTATAGATTTTTATTATTAATAAAGCCATTTACAAGAACAACACAAATAGCATTTCTGTAAAGGCACATTTCTGATTCAGGAGATTCGGAGCGGCACTAAAACGTGTGTGTGATGGTCTCTTACTAGACGTGAGCATTTAAATTAAAGGTAAAAAGACTTGATTCAGTCATGAATGGCTGTGCTTTTAAGCGAATTGGTTGAGTGAGTGATTCAATGGCTATCCTATCAATATGGGCCAACATTTCTAAAGAATGCTTGTTGAATCAATGCCACGTAGAATTAAGGTGAAAGGGGGTCAAGCACAGTATTAGTGTGGTGTTCCTCATAATCCTTTATGTGAGTGTATAATCCATTCAAAATTTGAATTAAACTTTAGTTTTGCTGCATTAGGTAAGAGAATGTTAATTTATTATACAAGATGGCTGCCGTGCCAAATTGTGCAAATAGTATGCTTGCTTTTCTGTTTAAATTATAATGGTTTGTGAACATACAGATGCTTTAATAGCAAATCATTTATGATGATGTGTAGATGTTATATTTGTGAAAAATATTTCATGAAATTCTTTTTAAATGTGTTTTCGAAGGCTGTATCTCGGCTGGTTTGAAGGGAGCCTTCGCTTCACGTTCTTCATTCCGCCTGTTTTGAAGGATCCGTTATAAGTGTATCGTTTGTCTCCTCCAATCGCCCACAATCCTTTGCACACATTCCATACAGAGAAATAATTAGCAGAGTTTGTCCAATTTCACTGTCATTCAAGAAAAATATATTTTGGATATAAAGTCATTGTTTTCTTTTGTTTAGTTGTAATTTAACCACGTAATGCTAAGCTTGTTGTTCATGTGTGTAGATTAGTGTTGGAGATAAGGACCGAAGGACTGTGAGGTTGCCCATCCCTGATCTATGGTCACACGTGATACAAATTCACAGGTCAAAGTTCACCAAACCAAGCAAAGTGCAAACCTTCTTCACTCTTCCTTCGCTCTCTAAACCATCTAACTAGCAGAAAAAGCCACTGAATGAGTTTACGAATTACAAATATTTGAGTCACTGCTATATCACATAAATAATAATCAGCTCAGATCTTTCTGGTTTACCGATTTAATTTTTTACTAAACTCAAAAGTGATTTTTTTTAAACAAAAGCTCTTAACAAAATACCTCAATTTGGCCATGGTCTCAAAATATAAAATATATTTAAGAAGTTTACATAAAAATGTTAGTAAACTGAAAGGTGGTAACACCCCTTTACAGACATTGAGGATGATTGTCCTTCATCTTTCAGAGATGGACAGATAGTGTGTCGAGCCTGATGATGTGCAGAAGTCTTCATGCTTCCTCTAAAAAGAAAGAAAACAGATATATTAGTTTATCAACAGCATTCACCTCAGTGTATGAGGAATATAGCACCGGATTGACATGATAAATAGTGTTTTGCAGAGTTGTTCAAGTGGATAATCGCACTAATGAAAGGTGCACACACATCCGGCGCAGATAATACACTTGTTTTTGCTAGCACTGCACGCTTGAAGAGGGTTCTGGGATTACAGAGTGAACTGCCGTGGACAAAAAAGATATCCTATATGCACATTCAGCACGTCTCTTTGGACTTCAATTTTGCTAAACGACACAAGATACCGGCTTGCTCCACCGATGCTATTTTAAACATGCATGCTCCACTGCTCATTTCTTCTGTCAATCGTTTAGTAACACGCCCAAATCTGCTGGATTCATACCTTTCTTGTCATCCACCTGGAAGTCCTCTGGCAGCAGTTTGTCTTGCCGGTTTCCCAGTACGAAGGCCAGGAAGGATAATATGAGGGAGTCCATGATGCTGATGATGGCCAGGATATACGCCCAGCGCACCGTACAGTTCCCCAGTGTGTATTTATCCGTCCGCTGCCCACACATCCTCTTCACCTCTTCCGAGTCCCAGCCGTCCGGGTAGATCATGCAACCAACCACCATGCAAGTCGCTGAATATCAAAAAAGATGCCCAGTCAGGTCAATATTACAAAAAGATTTTCATTTTTGTTTAGGAAATATGGGCTATACAACGTTTATTGCGGTCCTCAAATTGGATTGGCTAAGTGGCGTTTAGCACTTTTCCCTCTTTGAATCACTCCGCTTGTGTTCGCCTGTTCCAGAGACAGACGTTTTCAGTGACGGTTATGTGTTTTCAGGGTGACAGAAGTTTTCAGGGACCGTTTCTGCAGGTTACGTTGTTACGCCAATAGCCAGTAGAACCTTATTGTAGTACACAAGATCCAGGGGGCGGAGTTGGATCCAGATATATAGGTGGTGGAGATGGGTAGAATTAGGGGTGGGGTTAGGCATCAGGGGGTGGAGCTGAATAAGATTAGGGGTGAGGTCAGGGGATGGAGATGGGTTTAAGGGTGGGATTAGGGATCAGGTGGTGGAGATGGGTAAGATTAGGGGTGGGGTCAGGGGATGGAGATGGGTTTAAGGGTGTGGTTAGGGATCAGGTGGTGGAGATGGGTAAGATTAGGGGTGGGGTCAGGGGATGGAGATGGGTTTAAGGGTGGGATTAGGGATCAGGTGGTGGAGATGGGTAAGATTAGGGGTGGGGTCAGGGGATGGAGATGGGTGGGTTTAAGGGTGGGGTTAGGGGTCAGGGGATGGAGATGGGTAGAATTAGGGGTGGGGTTAGGCATCAGGGGGTGGAGCTGAATAAGATTAGGGGTGAGGTCAGGGGATGGAGATGGGTTTAAGGGTGGGGTTAGGGATCAGGTGGTGGAGATGGGTAAGATTAGGGGTGGGGTCAGGGGATGGAGATGGGTTTAAGGGTGTGGTTAGGGATCAGGTGGTGGAGATGGGTAAGATTAGGGGTGGGGTCAGGGGATGGAGATGGGTTTAAGGGTGGGATTAGGGATCAGGTGGTGGAGATGGGTAAGATTAGGGGTGGGGTCAGGGGATGGAGATGGGTGGGTTTAAGGGTGGGGTTAGGGGTCAGGGGATGGAGATGGGTAGAATTAGGGGTGGGGTTAGGCATCAGGGGGTGGAGCTGAATAAGATTAGGGGTGAGGTCAGGGGATGGAGATGGGTTTAAGGGTGGGGTTAGGGATCAGGTGGTGGAGATGGGTAAGATTAGGGGTGGGGTCAGGGGATGGAGATGGGTGGGTTTAAGGGTGGGGTTAGGGATCAGGGGTGGAGATGGGTAAGATTAGGGGTGGGGTCAGGGGATGGAGATGGGTTTAAGGGTGGGATTAGGGATCAGGTGGTGGAGATGGGTAAGATTAGGGGTGGGGTCAGGGGATGGAGATGGGTGGGTTTAAGGGTGGGGTTAGGGGTCAGGGGATGGAGATGGGTAGAATTAGGGGTGGGGTTAGGCATCAGGGGGTGGAGCTGAATAAGATTAGGGGTGAGGTCAGGGGATGGAGATGGGTTTAAGGGTGGGGTTAGGGATCAGGTGGTGGAGATGGGTAAGATTAGGGGTGGGGTCAGGGGATGGAGATGGGTGGGTTTAAGGGTGGGGTTAGGGATCAGGGGTGGAGATGGGTAGGTTTAGGGGGTGGGGTTAGAAGCCTGGGGGTGGAGACGGGTAAGATTAGGGATCAGGGTGGAGACAGGTAAGATTAGGGATGGGGTTAGGACCAGGTTGTGGAGATGGGTGGGGTTAGAAGTCAGGGGGTGGAGACGGGTAAGATTAGGGATGGGGTTAGGATCAGGTTGTGGAGATCGGTGGGGTTAGAAGCCAGGGGGTGGAGACGGGTAAGATTAGGGGTGGAGTTAGGGATCAGGGGGAGGAGATGGGTAGGATTGGGGGTGGGGTTAGGGCTCAGGGGGTGGAGATGGGTAAGATTAGGGTTAAGGGTCAGGAGGTGGAGTTGGGTGGGGTTGGCTCAGGGGTGGAGACGGGTAAGATTAGGGGTGGGGTCAGGGGGCGGAGATGTGGGGGTTAGGGGTCAGGGGGTGGAGACAGGTAAGTTTAGTGGTGGGGTCAGGGGCGGAGATGTGGGGGTTAGGGGTCAGGGGGTGGAGACGGGTAGGATTAGGGGTGGGGTTAGGGATCAGGGGTAGGAGATGGGTAGGATTGGGGGTGGGGTTAGGGCTCAGGGGGTGGGTTAGGTAAGATTAGGGGTGGGGTCAGGAGTGGAGATGGGTATGTTTAGGTGTATGTAAGGTGGGAGGAGTTTGATCTGGATCCTCCCCCTGGACTTCGTGTTCTGCAGCTTCTTTTCAGTTTCAGCTTTAGTTTGGAATCGTTCAAAAGATCCGACTTAAAGAAATTATTACTTTTATTCAGATACATAAAATTGAACAAATGTTACAGTTAAGATGATCTATCTTTTAAACGAATGCTCTTTTTATCAGTTTCATCGAGTAAGATTCTTCAAAGAATCTTTTTAAAAGACAGTTTTCTACATTGATAATAATAAGAAATGTTTCTTGAAATCATCATATTACAATAGAATGAAGACCGTAATAGAGTAATGGCTGTTGAAAGTTCATAGAAACAATTTATGATCAAATAAATACATCCTTGAAGAGCATAAAAAACTAGTGTTTCTAGGTAATGGCATTTCTAAAAACCTATTTTCTGTTTATTGAGCCATAAAAGCTGAATATTCATAGGCATCATATTCAGAAAACATCAGCATGTTCGCTTGTGTGATATTTCTCAATAAAATGCAGTTATATTTTTCATTTATATATTTTTTATAGCTATTCTTCCCAAACAGTGCCAGAGTAAAACAGCAGATTACTCCTTACTCCCAATAGTTTGATCATTACTATTAAATCTGTCTTTAGACAATGGTGTAAATTGTTCAGGAATTATTGTATACTTTAATGTTTGAGTCCATACAGCAAATTAACTCTTAAAAACAAACCCGCTCTGAAATATATCCACTGGAGGAAAAGCATGACCTTGATTTCTCTTTTATCGTTGTCAGAAATACTCTCGACTATCAGAAATATTTTGCATTAGGACTGTTGCCTGGCAACTTCAGCCACACTTAACTCATCATTCATTATTCATATGACAATACACTCTCTGCTGGGCAGCTGGTGCTGCGCTGGATATTGCTTTACACACACACTCTCTCAGTTTCACACTCACTTTCTTTTAATGAGTATGCATTGCAAATGCATTGTTATGTAATTTGGTGTGATGGGAGGGTTATCTGTGTCCTCAGAGATTCATTATATGGGACCAGACTTAAAGCATTATATTTCACAAAGCAGTACAAATATATTCCACTAATACAGTAAAGCAGTGTCTAATCTGTCATGTGGAGCTATCCAGGGCGCTGAAGTCCTCGTGCGTTTCACAACACTGTCTCTACCGCCTCAAGAATCAAGATGAACGAGTTTTGAAGAGTTCAGTTCTTTATTATAACCTTCATATGCCATTAACACCCATTGTACTGATAAACAATCTGTCAAAAGATGTTTGTTTTTGATAATTGAAATAAAGCTGAAAATTACAATAAATAATTTTTGAAAAACGTAAATGAAAAATCTGAAATGTTCCCTTGTCAACTAACTGAAACAAATACAAAAAAAACGCAAATATTTCACAAGCAAAAATGAATACATAAAATTAAAACTAAAATATAAAAACAGGTTAATTCAAAATCTTGAGAAAAAAAAACTATGATATAAATAATATCTTATAATATTATAATAAGACAAGGACTGACCTTGTGCGACCTTTAATCGCAATTAATCTTTGCACAGCCCTAACTATAATATTATTACATTTCTTCATTTATGGTTTAATATTTTATTCTTTAATTATTAGGGCTGTCAAACGATTAATCGCATCCAAAATAAAAGTTTGTGTTTACATAACATATGTGGGTGTACTATATATATAATACACACACATGCATGTATATTGTAGAAAAAAATATAATATAAATTACATATGAATCTATATACATGAAAATATATTCTTAAATATATTCAAGCATGTGTGTGTATTTATATATACAAAATAATTCTACTCAGTGCACCCACATATATTATGTAAACAAAACTTTTATTTTGGATGCGATTAACCGTTTCAGAGCCCCTAATTATTATTATTATTAAGGTTTATGTCATAAAAAACTCACAGGCTGCCAGCTGCATCCATGCGCAGATCTTGTACACACTGCCCGAGTTGCAGAAGAAGAACAGACTAAAGCAAACGATGGTGCCCACGATCAGCAGCAAAGAGATCCCGACGAAGAACATGGCGGTTTTGAAGGCGCCTGAAGGGATGGAGCCGAAGTCCAGCGCGCTGCCTTTACACACCAGCTCTCCGGTGATGGGGTTCCCGATGCAGTAGTGGAAGAGCCCGAAGTATCCCGACTGAGGGGTGTCCACGCTGTCTCCGATCCAGTACGGCTGGATGAAGATCACCACGCAGATGATGGCGAAGCAGATGGTGAAGATGGTCCAGAGCACGCCGACCGCCCTGGAGTTCCTCACGTAGTTGGTGTGGTAGATCCTTGCAGCCTCCTGGGCCGACAACAGCTTCGTCATGTTAGCCGGAGACGATGGTCCACCCGCAG